TAGCCATGCATAGAGTTGGGATTCCAACCCAGCTAAGCTGCACTGGGCCACCCAGGGGCGGTCACCACCAGGTTGTAAAGAAAGGACAGAGCCATCTACTGTCATGCCCTTCCTGAGGAATTGTGAAAATCATAAGCCCCAAGAATATATGCCAATAGCCTTCCCAAACCTGGATTATTGCCTTGAATTGCCTACAATCTGCTACCAGAAAGGCTTTCTTTGGGTGCTTCTTGAATCCCTCCTGTTACACCAAGTTCATCTCTCCCTGGAGAAGGGCTCAGGATCTGACAGTACGTCCGATGTCTCTTCTTGTATCTCTTGCCTTTCTCCCCTTCCCCCGTCCAAACCACACAAGAAGGCCCAGGGCTGCAAGGGTTAAATGGGCGAAGGGGGTGCTAGCTATCTCCAGCTCAGGGCCTCCCCTCTGCAAGGCGATCCCTGCTCCCATCTTAAGTTACCTTCTGCCCCAGCCTGCACATCTGCTGCTGGCTCTGCAGACCTGGTCTCCATGGAGCAGGGCGGGCATCACGGGGGACATTTCCCAGCTGGTGTGGGCATGGGGAACTGGCTTCCTGGGCTGCCATCTCCTCACTTCTTGCCCTTCTTTTCTGCTTTTGTAACAAGCGGGCTCCTGCTTTCTGCCACTCAAAGCAGGATGCTTCCGGGCATGCCTGTGTTGCCCTTGTCCCTTGTACTTTTTTTAATGGAAAGCCAAAGCCCATAATCATAACCTTTTTGAAAAGTTCAAGGTATGTTTAAAAAACACCCTCTCTCCCATTCTTTGTTTCCCAGGTACAAAGCAAAGATGCTAACTTAGGAGCCAAAAACTTGTTTCCCTTGGCCCCTCCCAGCCATTCAGGGATCCTGGGAACTCATGGGGGCAGGCCAGGCCCCAGTTAGCACCAACTTCCAGAACTGCTCTGTTTGCAGGGAGACAGCAGAAGGGAATGAGGAAAGTCTCTAGGTAATTACTGTCAAGGTCTCGGACCTTCATCCTCCCTGGAAGGATGCAAAGGCTGTCTAAAGCCAAGGGCAGAGGACAAAAAGGAAGCAGCATCCAGGCTTCTCATCTCCCAAGGGACTCAGACCCAGCAGCTTGCACAAGAAAGACCCGGCCAAGGGCAAATGCTGGGTCTCTTCCCAAAGCCACCTACACCAATCCTCTGACACAAGCACAGGCATTACCAAGGCCCCAAACCATTCACAAAATCCATTAATATGCATAGGAAATCAGCTATGTGTGAACATCCATTAGATATTATGCATTTATGGCACCAATCCCATGGTGACCCACAGTTGAGTATGTACACCTCTTAATATCAGTCCTCATGGAGCTGTACTTCAATAGTGAATTGTAGATCATCAACACAAACACACAAAGGCCTGCACACGTGTGTGCATACATCCAGTCCAGACCAAAGGTGAGACTGTCAGAAATGTTTTAGGCTAAGTTCCACAACTGGCTAATGCCCATTCTAGACTGGCATGCTGGCAAATGTTCACAGTTTAAAAAAACCCATCCAAACAGGTGACTATGTAGTTACTGGTATTCCATTTACCAGGTTAACCAGGAAAGATGTAATCAAAAAAATCGAAGATACATTCACACCTCCCTTGGGTGTTTTCTATTTGTGCTGAACAATGAACATTAGTCAGCTGCTAAACAATAGCAGCATCACAGATCTAGCAACTGGAGCTGCCCCTCTGCCCCTCCGCCTGGTCCACTGGCCCAGCTGTCACAGCACTATGGCTCCGGCTGGAACAACCATGCTGGCAGGATATCCCTGGGCCTGCAGGTCAGGCAACCCAAACATGGACAAGGTGGATTAATTATGCAAAGCCAAGTGGTCTGCAAAGGAGCTGACAGCACTCCTGGTCTCCACCAGCACCAGACACACAGAGGCTACTATCCTACAGGCTCAGAAGTCCAGGTTTAAGAGATATCTTCCAAGCCCTTGAGGCAGGGCCTCCAGGTTCTGCAGGCCCCTCCTCCCCTCCAACCTTGACGATGAGGCCTTGAATGGATTCTGAGACACCCCTCCATAGCACTGCCTTGTAAATAGCCTTGGAGACAGCCATGGACATGCTGTAAGCCTCAGGCCAGCAGAACTGGCTTTGTTATAATGTCCTACCCAGCAAGTCCGAGCACATCACGGTCTGGAAAATGGAGAGAGCAGAAAACAACGAATAGCTCCCACACTTGGATTATAAAAGGAAACCACCAGGACAGGGAGTTGAGCACAGGCAGCAGAGGGGTACATGGTAGCAGGACAGGTCTTCTGAGGGTGTGCATGACACCTGCGCTGTGTGTTCTCTTTCCAGACAAAAGGTGTGGGGAAGCCAATTAGGGAGGGTGTGGTGTGGGTGGGACACCTGCTTCTCAGGCAGGCTCTCTACCTCTTCCTCCTTTCTGGGCTGCCCAGTTCCTCTTTAGGCTGTGGCCCAATGCCCCACTGACCCTCTGCTCCAAGTTAGCGGAAATAACCACAGACTGTTACCTCAGGTAACAAGAGGGGCCGTGGGCCTTCATCACCCTGTCTGCTACAGTCCACATTGTCGAAACACTTCTGTGTGCACACTTCAGTTGCCAGAATGGGGGTGTTTGAAGTCAGGGGCCATCACACACACACACACACACACACACACACACACACACACACACACACGGGTGTTCTTCCTTCCCCACTTACTCAACACTCCTTGTCATAGTCCAGGAGAACACTGAAAAGAACAGCAGATTGGCAAGTCCCCAGAAAGAAGCAAAAGTGAGCAGTTGAGAGGGAGCTGGGTAGTGGTACAAAGTGAGGGCTGGCGTGGAGACTTCAGGACCTTCTGGCCTTCTCTCCCTAAGGGTCAGGACTGGCACACCCACCTCCCTCCCTCTGAAGCAGACCCCAGAGAGAGCAAACACAGGCATCAAGCGAACAGGCACTGAGTTTAGGAGTCTGGTGAGCCTGGGAACTTCAGCTGCCTCTGATGTTGCCCATCCATCAGTCACAATCAGTAGAAGAACACTTATTAAATGCGTACCTCCCTGTGGTTCTGCTGTAGGCATCCCACCCCCTCATCTGGACTTTTAGTGTGTGGAGGGGTAGCCACTATGAACCAGGTGAGTGCCACCTCCCTGCCCCCACCTTGAGTGAGTGGCAGGCCTCTTCTCCTCCATCCTGCCAAAGAGAATTAGCCAGCCTTCAACACAAAGCTGGGGAGAGTAACAAAAGGAGGGGGCAAAGGGGTGAGCCATCACCCTCCTCTCCAAACCTTCCGGCCCTTTGTCCATCCCAGTATTAGGTTAACCCCTAGTATGCTAGAGACCACCAGTGCTCTGGGAAAGCTTTCTCTTGATTCTCCATGTAGACAAATGGAATCAAAGGATTCCCAGGTGCCCAAGCCCTGGCCATAAGACACATCCTGCAGCCTGAGCTTCTCACCCCTGCTGGCTTCCCAGGCTGTCCAATGTGAGATGAAGAGCTCCTGCTCTGACCAAGACCTCATGGTGGAAAGGCTCAGGCATGCTCCCATGAATCTCCACTGCCCCATCCTAGGAGCAGGTACTTTGGTCAGCATTGGACACTCCCTGGCCTGTTTTTGAAAACTGCTTTCACTAGCATCCACCACTGAGTGAGCCTCACTGAGCTCTAGCAGTGGGCTGGCTGGCAGGAGAAGGGGCAGAGAAGTGGATGAGGCTGGGGTTTGGCCTTCCCAGGTGGCACACAGGCCTCCTACCTGACAGCCTGGCTGGGGGGCCAGTCTGCAGCACCATAGTTGGAAGCTAATATTCATACCGCAGGACGAATGAATCTTTATTCCAAGCCCCCTGATTCTGCCCCACCAAGGCAAAGACCACGTGCTCCGAGTCCAGGGCCACCTTACCCCCAAAACCTATCTGGCTAGTGCCAGATTCCACCTCAGGTTCCTTCCCAGACATCCAGAGGGACCCTTCTCCCATCTTGACCCAAACTGGGCATCCCCCTGGGAGCCCAGTAGCTTCCCCAGGGACACAAAGGGTTAAAACCAGGCAAGCGGACCTGGTGGGATTTGCATCCTAAATGCATTTTCCAGCTCATTCCCCGGCACAATGTGCCTGGGCCGGTCCCGCCTCCACCCCATCCCACCCCCACCGCACCCGTCAGAATGGACCGCTAAAGGCTACCCTAGAGTCGGGCCTGGAGTTAACCCCTCAACTGCTGGCACCTCGAGGAAGGACATGCGGAGCGCCCTCAGGGTCCCTCGGGAAAGTGGGTCATGCAGCCACTTTGGCTGGCACGACGCCCGCGGCGTCTCCTCCGGGGAGAACCCCAGCTTCAGGAGAGGAGCGGAGTTCCCAGGCAGAGCTCAGTCCCGCACAAGCCTGGGAGTTTGCGATGGGGCGTGGGGGCGCTCCCTCTCCGGGAAAAGGAACCGCAGGTGAGCGAGAAGCCGCCTGGAGAAGCCGCCTCTGCAGTAGGAGCCAGAGCGGCTCTCCGCGTCCGCTGTGAGGAGACATGGGGCAGGAGAGGACCGAGCGCCTGAAACCGTCTGGCAAGGAGCTAACGAAAGAAACGAAGCCCCCCTTTATCCTCCCGGCCCCTGGCCCACCAGCTCAGACTGATGCCTTTCCCCTGAGGCTGTTGTCTTATACCCTGAGACCGTGATTACCGTGATTATTTTGCATTTATGTAACGTGCAGTGTTTCCAAACTGCTTCTCAAGCTAAGAACTGGTTATTAAATAAATAGAACGCTATTACATATTACTATTTTCGTGAAGGACTGAGCGGAGAAAGTGCTTTCTTGCTACACGGAGACGTGCTCCGACCTCTTCCCTGCAGGGCAGGCTGTTCGGCTTCTCTGCGTCTCTTTTTCCGCTGTGTCGCCTCCTACCCTCTTTAGTCAAGCCGTGACCCAACTTTTCTGTCTCCGTTCACTCCCTGCACCCCGATGGTGCCCGCCACCCAGCTCTCAGCCCCGGGGAGGCGCTGGATGGGGGTGGGGGTGGGGAGGCAGAGGTGAACGCGCCTACCTGGGCAGAAGAGAGCCGTCAAGCAGAGAGCGAGTCCCCAGCAGCGTCCAGCAGCGCCCGCGAGCCCCATCCGAGCCATCGGGGTCCGGGGGTCCGGCGAGAGGGCCGGTGAGCAGGGCGCTCCCCGCGCTCCAGAAAACAGCCCGGAAGACGAAGGCGGATCGCTGGCGGTCCGCAGGCGCTCGCGGGATCCAGGTCAGCCGCAGCCGTCGGCCAGGGCGGGGTGGGCTGGGTGGGTTCTGCGCGCGCGGCCGCAATCCGGGCCCGGGTGCCGCCGGCTCAGAAGCTCGCCAGATGCCCGCCGCGAGTTGCACGAGTCATGCCCCCTTCGCCTCCTCCGTTCTCCTCCTCGCGCCGGTCCCGCCCTCTTCTCCACGCAGAGCCGGGCTGGAGAGAGACCCACCCCCGGCGCGCCCGGCTGCCGGGCTGCGAGGCGCGGGCTCCCGGCCCCCGACGCGCTCACGCCCTCCCGCTCAGCTCCAACTTGCAGGCGTCCATGGCTGGCCGTCCTCCGAGGGCGGCGGGACGAGCCCGGGCGGCGCGGAG